TTCCCATCTTCCTTCGCCAGCGGTCCGCGTTGGTGACCGGCAAGGATTCGAACACTTGACCACATCCCTATGAGGCAAGACCGCTAGCCACTACACCACCAGACTCGAAGTCATCAGCCCTGCTTTCATTTTATTGGCAAAAACAGAAGCACTTTGATCGCACCCTTGAAAACGGGACTGCTTTCCATCCATTAGACAAAGAACTGGTGAGCATTAAATAGTGAGCACAGCTTCGCTTCCATTGCCCTTTCTTCCAGGCCCCATATCACTTCCAGATTTCCAGCTCAATTGCTGGCGAAAAGCAAACTCTGCAGCGATGCTCTCCAGCAATCTTATCTCATCGGGGCATCCCACAGAAGCCAGCGCCACCTTTGTTCCGCTCGTCTGCCTCTTGTGTGTCGTCTGCCTTCTCGAACTCTCCTCGATTAATCGCTCAATCGAAGGGATGCACCGAAAAGTCTATTGTTTGACCGTGAAGCCGGTTTGTAATATTAGCCGTATGCAAAAAGCGACACGATGAAAAGCGATCCGAAGACAATGGGATGAAGACGCGCAACGCGAGTTGGAGAGAGTGTGCGAGGTAAGAGCGTAACGATGCGGCGCGCAAGGGCTCGGAGTTTGGCTGTTTGCTCGCCGACGAACCCGTCGACGTTCACTCATTAAGGCGTGCATCAGTGAGCGCTGAACTCGTGTCGAAGCTGCGCAGACAAACATTCAAGCACACGAGCATCTCAACCGACAGCGCGTTCACTTCAAATCGCCGTCGACATTTATGTCATTTCGGCGCCTTCTATGGACGGGAACCGTAGCGCAAATCTCAAAACTTTGCGATTTGAGGTGATGGGCACACCTACGGAGGGAACGTATTTTCGGTCCAATCTTGGAGAATTCTGGGGCATTTGGAACTGTAGGACGCTGCCATGAATTGGCAGATCCATAGATCGGGTTCTGCGCACCCTTGGTGAGCCTTCCACCCCTCCTAGGACGCCTGTTGAATAATGGGTCTGTGGTTGAGTAGAAAATGCTCCTTAGGACATCAACTGGCCCAGTCTGACCCTTGAGAGCTAAAAGCGAGCCTGGCTTCTGTAATTCTGCCAAAAGTGTCGCGATCAGAGAGAGGAAGTCCTGGCGCGGTGCCCCTGATGTC